GTGTGTGTGTGTGTGTGTGTGTACCTCGGCCAGGAGGGTGGAGATGATGTGCAGCGGAGCCTGGTGGATGGACTCGTCCTGCAGCGGCGAGGTCAGCGCCATGTCCACCAGCGCTCTGATCTCCTTCAGCACCACGTCCCAGCGGCTCGGGTTGTTCAGGACCTTCCGGTACTTGTAGATCTTTTTCTGCAGGAAACACAGAGTTGACCAACGTCTGGAGGAATGTTTTTTTTTTTTCTTTTTTTTTTAACCAGCACTTAGATATCGATCAGAAAGGTTTGAGTTTGTGGGTTTTCTTCTCTTTAGCTTGTTGAGTTGGAATGGAAAGTTTTTTTTTTTTTTTTTTTTCAACACGATGCAGCGAAAACACATGAACAGGAAAGATTGTTTTTCAGAGGAAGTAACTGTGAGCTCTTTATTAGCTCAGATAAAGTCGGGTTTGAGCCACTGATCCTCATAAAGGTCTGTTTGTTCAAAGTCTATAACTATGAATGTAAACTATAAAAAAAAATGACATGTGATCTGAAATTAGGGGATGTTGTGCATTTGTTAATATTTTAGAAGAAACAAAAGATGTAAAATAAGTTAAACAGTGTGTGTGTGTGTGTGTGTGTGTTAGTGTGTGTGTGTGTGTGTGTGTGTGTGTGTGTGTGTGTGTGTGTGTGTGAGAGATGAGAAGCTTTGATGGAGCTGATGAAACACTGACATTAATAGTTAAAGACAAAGTGTAACCTTACCTTCCACTGCAGGGAGTGAAACCACTGGTCTCTTAAGTAGCTGTTTGCAGCCTGTAACACACACAGACACACACGCACGCACGCACACACACACACGCACAAAGACACACAATATATTAATCAACTAAACCAAAGATGAACAGACACAAATAAAACCTCCTGAGTGTTAATTCACATCTGAAATCACACATCACTCACTTCTATACAGAAACTATAAAGTGACAGAAACTATAAAGTGACAGAAACAACGTCTGCCGGTGGAAAATCTTAAATGTTCATTTTACTCCCTTAAAAAACGTTTAGTGACCATCGGTTGTACACTATTTTTCTCGATGCATTATGGGAAACAATGAGTGAAATTTCAGAAAACATTGAGCTCAGCAGAATCAGCTGTGAGACATCAGTGAGTCAATAAAAGTGTTTCCAGGGATCAGTTTGATCCAGAACACCTCCTCTGGTCGGACTCAATGTTTGGACCTCGTCCTGACGAACCTTTCACTCCTGAAGTTCAGGTTCAGAAACAAACAAAGTTGTGTTAAAAGTAGAACGGGAGTTAGAGCCCTCAGGCCCCGGGCTCCTCTCCGTCAGCTCCGTCGGGGTTCAGTACACACCCCCTCTCCACACGAGTTTAAAACAAGGGTTTAAAACTTTGCTCTGTGATAAAGTTTGGGTGGAAGTTCAGGTGAAAATCCGAAAGATTCAATGTTTAAATAATTGATCTAAAAGGAAACACCCGTCGCTCACATGTTCCAGTATCTTCGGAAGAATTTCCCGAACTGGCAACGACAGCGACCGGCTGCTGAAGCCAGAACCAGGATGAAGTTCAGATGAGACGAGGTTAATCTCTAAACCTCAGACATCTTCTGTTCTCTGTTGTATTTCAATCATCTTCTAATTTCTATGTTCTTTCCATCGCTGGAAAACAACAGCAGGTTCTGCTCTTGTCCGCAGCTCGGAGCCGGAACCCTGACTGACGGGGGCTCGTGGAAATGAAGCTCTTTTCCTTCTGAACCTGCCGGCAGCTCCGCAGACATCTGGCAGCAGGTGAGAGCAAACACACCGGCGGGGGAGGGTACACAGTGTCAACCCCCAACACCCTTAATGGGTTGTGTATCAGAGGTAATCGGGCTGGAGGGTAACAGAACCAAATGTGCTCAGTGAACGACCCTGGTTAATGTGGACCAGTTCACTGGGGACATGGTTCTGTCCTCAAACATCAGAGACGACAAAAGAACCGTCTCCTTATTTCATTTTAATCAGTGTTTCCAGATTTAGTTTTCAGGCTCTGAGGTAAAATAAAAAAATAAAAAAAACCTTCGCTCTCATTGAAAAGAATCACAGAATTATTGTTGTGCATAAAAAGAAGCTGTGGAACCTTTGACCTTTGTCCTCAGACAAATGTTTACACACGTGTCAATGTGATGATCTGTCAACAGACTCACAATCACTCACCAGCAACTTTGTCTTTCCTATTCCAAACTAAATATGAAGCCTGGATGGAAGCAGTTGTTTCAGAACATGTTCAGGTAGAAGCAGTTCTTTATTTTAACTCGTGCTGTTTCTGCCTGTGTCAACAACCAGATCTGTCCCAGAACGTTCATGCAAACAAACGGTGCGTCGTGTTACCTGCAGCAGGACGGTGCCTCCGGGGAAGCTGAGCTGGACGCAGTACTTTGGAGCGTTGTCCCACGAGAGCAGCTGCAGGTCCTCGATGGAGCTGTAGGACAGTGACGTCTCCATGTAACCGGTGGGCTGAGGGACAGAGAGGAGGGAGTCAGTCTCACATTCAGAGTACACACTGTGTGTTTAAACAGAGCCCCGGGATAAAAAGCCATTTATTTTTACTGGCAGTCGGCTGGACGGACAAAAAGAAATATCACCTGGGCTGGGCTGCCCTGAGTAAACACACGGCCAAACAAACCCGCTGCTGCTGCACAGAACGCACACGGCAGGACAGTCGTCTTTATCAGCTGTGGTGACATTTGATATTGTTCCAAGTGAACAGTCACTGAACGCTGAGACAAAGTGGAAAATCAATTTAGCAAAGGCCATTAATCACACAATTACACAAAGCATCACCTAGAGACACATTGTTCATGTGGCTGTGAGTCAACACACACACACACACACAGACACAGACACACACACACACAGGCTGGGATCACAGCCCTCACCATTGTGAGAGCTGGGATCACAGATGCAACAGTAACAGGCCACAACCTGTTTGCTCGTCTCTGAACGATTACAGAAACGCTGACAAATTACCACAAGTTTCCGGAGCCAGGAACAGAAGAGTCTTTAGAGAGAAGTGGGGGGAGGTGAAAAAAAAAAAAAAAGAGGAAAGAATATAAACAGATAAAAATAACGAGGTCGAGCGAAAGCCACAAGGAAACCGAGTTTGTATATCTTCGAAGCCCGAGAGGACTTTGACGAGGGACGTTGCCACAGAGTCTAAAATAAGACGTGTCAGAACAGCAGAATTCAGCAGTAAAATGAATCAGCACTCGATTTTTCCCAGAATTCAGCGTCACTGAATGAGTTGGAATCAATCATTGCTGATGGGGGACGTCATCCGCGGCAGCTGAGCCTATATTAACTTTTTATTTTCATCTAGAAAACTTGTGACGCTCGCTCAGACTCACTCCAGCTGATGGGTTTTTTTTTTTTGTAAGTCTCTCAGTTGGAGGCACAGAGCTCAGCCTGGACGTCACCACACAAACCTGGTGGAGCTGAAGAAAACGACAATGAAGATATAAATCTCATAGACATCTGAACAACGACCACGGTTATAATGTGACGGACCAGGTAAGAGTCAGTGTCAAAAACACACTCCACAGACTGATCTGGGATCAGTGCAGATAAACAGAATGTCTCCAACACACACACACACATGCACACACACACACACACACACACACACACACACGCACACACGCCTGTTGTGAAACTGCACATACTGTATTTTCATTATGGACAACATCCATGGCAAATATTGGTTCTGGGCGAGATGTCTCATTTCCTTGGGAGAGTAAACGTGAACCCCCGTCTCTGTCCACCCGTCTGTCTTTGTTTCTGTCTGTGCTGCAGAATAGTGTTTATTTGATTTATTTTTAAAAACAGAATCGTGTGTTTTTGCTCGATTTGAACGTAAAGCACCATAACGACTGGAGCAGCTGCCCGAGTGACAGCGAGGCGTGAGAGCGAGCGCTGAGGAGCGACGTGGACGGCGTTGTGTTTTTGAACAGGCGGAGACAAAGCAGAGCGCAGACAAACAGAAGGAAGTTCAATTTTCTGATAACCAGCCGAGGGTTACCATAGATACTCCATCCCGCACAAGAGCGTACAGTGATTGCCTCCCTCCACCTTAATGTGTCTCTCCCTCTCTCTGCTCCTCTCGGCTTTTTCTGTCCGTTTTTCTCTTTTCTTCCTCGTCCTGTTCTGCCTATCATGGCGGAGGAGGGTCAGAGGAGGCTGCGGCTCCTCTCGTCGGTTCTCCTCGCTGCTGAGTTGCCATAGAAACAACATGATGAAGATGTATGTTGTGTTTCATTTTTTTTTTTTTTCTTCTTGTGGTTCGTTACCAGGGAGAGGCAGACAGCAGCAATGATGGGAGGGAGAAGAAGAAGCAATGGAAAGTGGACACGCAGTCTTTGCGCAATATCTCTTGTTTTATAACATTCCGGTAAACGTGCGGCTGATTACGGCAGAGTGAATTATTTCAGGACGCAAATTTGCGTCCGCTTGAGTTGAAAATGTTTTGAATTGAGCAGAAAAGAAAAAACCCGTGACGCTGTGTCGTGACAATCAGCATCGAGAAATAGAGAACAAACTTATTTTGGCAGATTTAAACGATCTCCTGGAATCGAAAGACGCAGAACAGGAAGTCTTTGAATATGTTTCAGTGAATTCAGTTTATGATAATGGAACATACATGACCATTAATTCATATGAACACGTATACATTCATGATCTGTAGGGGATCAGTTATTCACTCGGTCTAATAATGTAAAAACAGGGACATTTATAAAAATCCTCTGACGGAACACTGAGATAAAAGTAAAACTTCTGAACAAGATTCTGTTTGTTTCTTAAAGTCAACAAATGAAAAGACCTGAAAACAACAATGAGTTGAATTTAATGACTCGTATTGAGCTGACGAACGTCTGTTCAACAGTTTCCCAAAACCACATGAATGAACCGCAGAGGATGACATGACACACACGCACACACACACACGCACACACACACACGCAGACACACACACACGTTTATTTAAACTCAGTCCCACAAACATCTTCCTGCTGCCAGAAATGCTCAGAGCAACATCCACAACACAACTAGAATAAATAAAACTACATGTTATCGTGCGTTCAGAAAAAAGAAAGAGCGGCTCGTCTCCTTTAACTCTCAGGTGTGCTGTGACTTTGCGTCGGCACGTGTGAACGCTGAGTCGCGTCAACAACGCTATCGGCTCCTGATACGTTGTGTTCACTGAGCTGCAGGAGGAAAAGCACACATCACGTGCAGCTCAACTCTTGTTTGTTATTCTGTTGTTTCTGTTTCCAGTCGTCCCTCGTTCATGCGTTCACGTTCGTCTGAAGCAGGTTTGTTGAGGTCTTCAGTCTGACGACAGCCAATAGCCAGAGGTCATGTTTTTTTACAGGTTGTCTGTCTCATTCTCGTGAACTCGAAATCTCAGCAGCACCTCGAGGGAATTTCTTCATATCTGATAAAAAACGTTCACTTGGACTCAAGGACGGACCAGGTGTATTTTGGAGGTCAAAGGTCAAATGTCAAGGGTCGCTCTGACATCTTTGAGACCTCAGGATCACCTCCAGGGATCCTTACTAATCTAGCACCAGGGTCACGCCGGGTGCACGTGCAGCGCTCTGACTCTCTCGAGGAGCCTGAGTCACATCGTGCGCTCGTTGCTTTTCATTTCGGCGCCCATGACATCTGATCAGAGCGACCACGCCCCTCACACATCCAGTGAGGCCGGGCATTGGACTCACAGATTCCTCTCTCTCTCTCTTCCTGTATTTATGAAGCGCTCGTCTCGAACTGATGACCACCGTGCTTTACACTTTTGCATTCACCCATTCACACACACACACACACATTCATACAGTGCATCTATGTGCAGCACGTTCTCTATGAGAACAGAGATTTGGGGTTCAGCATCTTGCCCAAGGACACTTCAGCATGTGGACGAGGGAAGACTGGGATCGAACTGCCGACCTTCTGGTTAGAGGACGGCCGCTCTCACCCCTGAGATTATAAAAATACGAGTCCCTCTCTTAAACTCTGGCTGTGAAAAATGAATTCAAGCCGTTGAAGGACAGAGACACTGTGGACATTGGACAAAGTTTAGCTTCACATTAGAAGTTGATCAGAGGTCATCTGAGTGCAGATTTCTTCCTGTTCCGTCATCGGACCCAAAAAAAAAAAAAAAACATTGTTTCACATCCTGTGTTCTCTCGGTTTCATATTTACAATCACACGACGGCAGTTCCCGAACAAGAAGTCATTCAGCAGTGACCCGGATTCAAAGGGTGACCGAGGTGATGCGACCGCCCCGTCGCCTCAAAGACCCTCATTGTGACCGATCGATCACACGGGGACAGAAATGTCTGCGTTCGGGGGACAAGCTCGTGTGACGTCACTTCCCAGAACAAGAAGCCGCTCTACTTCTCCAAATGTTAGGGAACAACCAGACGAGGATGGAAACACAGTTCAAGTCAAAGTCCTGCAGTGAGACGAGTGATTCCAACACTGCACTGATCTGCTCCACGTGTCAATAACAGAAGGTGAACGTGCACGTGGACAGTTTGACGTTCAGTTTCTTGATCCCGTCTGTTTCTGTGAAGACACACGTTCGTTCTCATCTTCTCTCACTGGGCCGTTGACTCTGATTCCAAAACAGCAGGAGAATATAAATAAAACTGCTCGTAATGGAAAATAGTTTTTCTGGACTTTCTATGACGTCTTGTCGTCCACAACTATGATCGCTGCTCAGTTTGTGTCAGAGGCTCCGGTTTGAATTCAGCCTCGTGTTTATTCTTCCTACATATGCACAGATTCAGCTCAATGGACAAAAACATGTGAAACTTAAACTTAGAATTTAAACCTGTGTGGTGTTATAAGTTCAAACAGCTCACAATAAATCACTAACTAGTTGAAAGCAAAGAGGATTATGGGAGAATAAAGGTGTGAAGACTCAAGTTTCACTGTGAGTGTGTGTGTGTGTGTGTGTGTGTGTGTGTGTGTGTGTGTGTGTCATCATTTTTTTCTCTTCCCTTTATTTTGAATTGAAACAAAACCACCAGTCGGTTTCTCAGCTGCTTCCTCTTTGATGAGCTGATGTGAATTTCTTCTTCACATATTCAAAACAAAACCAAAATCTGATCTGCATCTTTAACCAGTTCGAGCTCAACTCTAACCGTAACCTACCCACGGGTCACATGACCCCTGACCTTCACCAGGAGCTCAGAAGTGAAGTTCAGTCTCATTAGGGCTGAGACCCCATGAGCTCTACTGGTCCTGTGTTTCCTGTTTGAACCTGTGCACCAACTTCAAGGTTTTTATAAAAACATGTTGTGAGCTTCCTTCAGTTTAGAAGATGGTCGAGATCGGGACGGTTACTCACGAGAGTCTGAACCAGGCTTCATGTGTTCGTTCCATTGTTTTCATTTCCAAAGTCAAAACTACCCAAAGTGTCATCACTCTGCAGACGATCTTCACTTTACATTTCA